GAACATTATGCACAAAAGTTTAAAAGTTTCTTGGAGTGCTTGTGGACATGCTTCTCCCTCTTTAGCGGAGATCTGATTTAGTGCCTCTTGGGGGACAGCATGATTGAAGCCTTCTACCACTGTCTACTGAAACATGTAGATGATAAATAAGTATCATATTTATTTATGAAATTGCTAATATTACCAAAGTTTATTAATAATGTTATTTAATCTCTTCATTTGAGATAGTTGACACTTAAAAATATTTTTTTTTCTGAGAATAACAAAAAACTGATGATTTCTATTGCAGTTAGGCTATTGTGGAATTATAATGTGTAACATTAGTGATTAGTGAATAATCCAACTCTTCATTTGGAAGAAACTATGCTTATAATTAATTTTTGCTTAACTATTTTAATTCCAAAACCATAATAAAATGATTTAGTAATTAGTGTGAATGAAAAACCTTGTTTTCTGCTAGTTGTTTTACACACATTATCTCCATTTTCTGCTACTATGTTCTGTGGTAGGTGTTATTATTTATAAAGAGATGAAGAGACTGAGGCTCATGACTAATGTAATTTACCCAAGTTCATCCAACTCAAGGGGCAGGCAGTGGTCACCCATAGTTTGATCAGTGAACTTTTGGACTGTGTAGTTTGTGGTGACAGAATTCAGGAAAGCTATTTCCTTGGAGTAATTGATGGTAGATCACCTAAATAGTAAAGTGTATGTGTATGTGTGTGTGTGTGTGTGTGTGTGTGTGTGTGTAAGTGAGAGAAGGAAGGATGGGGGGAGGAGAGGAAGTTCGAGGTGGGAGGAATTGTTCTCTTCAGAAAATGAGCTAAGAAATGAGACATTGAAAATTCCCGAAACTCCAGTTAAGAGAAGACCCAAGGGTCTTTACTAACTTATTGTAAGGGAAAAAGTAAATATGGGTCAAAATTTTAAAAATAGAGTGAAACATTTCATGTAAGAATATGAAAAAATCTTCACCATATGGCTCTGATACCAATATAGCAATATTAAGTGTTCCCATGTTTCTGGGCTGCCTTTGTACCACATTGCATAGATGCTCCTTTGTTCTCGTGTGGTTTAAAACAAGTGCCAACCACTTGGTCCTGTGTTATAAAAGGGAAGGTTTTCCTCAGGAACAGTTGGCATTTTGTATTAAACCCAGAGGTTGTTAAGAGGTTTATTAAAAAAAAAAAACCCTGGAAATGTTATGTATTATCAAAGTCTATGAACTACAGGGTAAGCTCAAGGATCTGTTAACTAAACACTCTAGATTTTGCCCCCAAAGTGCAGACAAGTGAGACCTGGCAGAACTTGGTGACTCACCATGATGTGTCTGCCTTCCAGTTTCTGGGTGAAACTGATAAGAGTAATATGGTTGGGAAGCAGACTGGAATTTCATGGTGGACCATTCAATTATGTTTATGAAAAAGATGCTTTCTGGCCCAAGGTAGTCCAAGTTCACGTTGAATGTTTTCTGCCGCAGATGTGGAAATAACTAAGGGTAAGAGATCCTGGTTTCTTTTGGTGGGCAATAATATTTGAAACCAGAATCTGAATCATTAAATATGTAACTGTATACACACACATACACACACTCACACACACAATCATGTATTTATATTGATGCCTCCAGATCAATTCTAATGTCACATGGTTTTTCTCCCTCTAATTTTTACCCCCATTCCATATTCACATCTTTTTGGAATCCGACAGTAGAATGTATTTACTTATTTAGTATTTTATAGAATGCTCAAAATAGTTTCAGAACTATTTTACACCAAGCATGACATCACAACAAGTGTACTAAATTAAGTGGAAAATAGCTGTGCGAGTCTTGTTTTCTTGTGTGTCAGGGAGAATGCAGTCAAAATGCTGTATTTAAATTACTCAAATTAATCTTTTCATTCCTCTGAGTTTATCTATTTGCTACATAATTAGATTTGTTTTCCTTTACATTGATTTTCAGGATTTGTTTTTATCTTGTTTGATACATGGTTCGTCCTCCATTTCCATTAATTCTGTATCTCTGGATTCCACCAATCATGGATCAAAACTATTTGGACAAACAAATCACATTTGTACTGAACATGAACAGACTGTTTTTTCTAATTATGATTGCCTAAACAGTACAGTGTAAGAACTACTTATGGGGCATTTATATTGTATTTGCTATATAAGTAAATTAGAAATGATTTAAAGTCTATAGGAGGATGTACATAGGTTATATGTAAACACGACACAACTTTATATAAGGCACTTATGTGGTAACAGATTTCAGTATGTACAAAGTCCTAGAAAAAAATTGCCTATGGATACTGAGGAATGACTTTAATATTGATGCAAAATTCAGAAATATATATAAAAAAAGACACATGAAATCTTATTACTAACCTTATCACATTGGTAACCTTAGGTATAAGTATCCCATTAAAATTTAATATCAATTTTTATGATTTTTTTCTTTTGATATGTTTATATGTATACATGTATTTGATATATATTCATATATAAAATATATATATATATATATATATATATATATATATTTCTTATTGCAGCTTCTTTTTTGCACAAAGGTGACATATTTTACTTTTTATTACTTAATGACATCTCCTGGACCTCATTCCGTTAATAGTTCACAGTCTTTACAGAAATATTTAAATGGCACCATTGTATGCAATCATGCGAGTTCTGCATGGATATTAAAGTTCTCCCCAACTTTTTTGTTCCTATTAAATATTATTCATAATTAAATATCAAATTAACTTGTTCACATATTATCTTCTACTTGAAGGTAAATTTTTAGGAGTGAGGTTGGTAGATTAATGGTTCAATGCTTATACCATTTGTTGAATGTTCCTAATGCTTCCTATAGCAGGACAATTGACACTGTCACCAACAATGCATACGGATGTCTATTTCACTATAGACTTGCCCAGGCAATGGTCACCAAGTTTTTAAATTTGATGATTTTTTTTTTTTGCTGATCTAATAGGTATGAAATGATATCTCAGTTTAGTTTTAATTTTCATTCTCACATCTGAGTTAAATCAATTTTTTATGTTTAAAGGCCTTTTGTTTACTTTTTCCTGTGACCTGCCTGTTCATGCCCATTGTCCAGTTTTATATCAGGAGTTGACAATATCTTTATTTTTAACTCTTTATATTTATTTAGCCTTTTCCTGCAATGTGTGGAATAAATATGTCAATTTTTAATTTGTCTTTCCTGAAGATATTCT